CGTGACCTTTTCTCCTTTATCCACAATTTCCTCTTGAAACTTTTCTTCTATATTTTGGTCCTTTTACTTTACCTGCTGTATATATACAGTATATATATATCAATAGCTCCAGAGCTGATTTACTAAATATCACATTTGATTGTTTTCAACCCATATTTTGAGCAGAACGTAGAAACAAATAAAAAATGCAACTTTATTTTCACACATTGTAGCATTTTAGCCTCTACACTAAGTTTCATTCTGAACTGTAACCCATTATCATCACAATCATCCCCAGAACACATTGTGTCAGTAATAACATGGCGACATGTTTAAGTGAAAAATGTAACTAAAATGTACAGTTTTTGAGAATTTGTATGTGGTCACATGACACAAACATCAACTTTCAGTAAAAGAGAGAATTACCATATTAAGGCCAACATGTGACAGTAGTAAGAGACCCCTTTAACACAAGAACATAAGTAAATAAACAGACTAGGGTGAGTTTCAATTGAAAGAGTGCACATCGCTAGTTTTAAACTACATGTAACCATTGGAATCAAATATTGTGTGCACAATATCATGAAATGTCAAGATCTGAGTATGTGTGAAGTAGGGCTGGGCGGTATGACCCAAATTTTATATCAAAATATTTTCAATGATTACACTGGTTTTACCGTATTTTTTTTCCTCACAGCTCTGCTGATAATAAAATGTACAAACTTTGCTAATTGACTTTTTTCTTTTACTGTACCTCTGTATCACTGTTTCYCTCCTCTTGTATATCTTTTCTTATTTGCCTGGTTGTAGACAGTAATCATGCATTTAAGTCAGATCATGAAGGGTTGAGAAAAAAATCATTATCTGGTCTATCGTTACGTGTTAATAAAACTTAAAAAGATGACTCACCTTGCACACCAGTCAACTCCGCTACACTACAAAACTACTTCCCCCGGGCTTTTCACAATAGAAGCACGCTAGAGTCTCCATGCAATAACGTCTCCATTTTAACGTAGGGCGTTAAATCTAACTGTGCATGTTACTGAAGAGTTGTTTACTATTCACCGATGGTGAAAACGGGATAGTGTTTTTTTTACGTCAGACCATATAAGCAGCTGAAACACACCACCCGCCACCAGTTGTTCCAACAATAACGTTAGTATGCTAATGCGCTTAGCGGTGCTGCGAGGAAACATGTCCCCAGGGAAACAGTTCACTGGCGGCCGTGACGAAACGTTCCGCATGTGTTCAGGCTATTTACACCGGTATTCAGAAACGTCATATCATAACTGTTATGGACTAATTATAACTAATTATAAGGGAATATGCTGCTCCAGCACCACATGGCTTTGAATCTTTTGTTGGCTTCGCAGGGAGGGCTCTGTCATGTGATCGGCCCGATGTGCTGCTCGTACCTCCCTGATGTCTCTGGAAACATTTCTATGCCTATTGATCATCTTAATGGTCTGCTCACAGATATGAAAGCAGAAGACCCCCACCCCCCAGAATAGGATAGATTGGGTCGCAAACGGTGGGTGTCAGGTCTGGCTGAGAAGAGTATTAGTCCCCATTTGCTCGTTTTTCTTTCTGCTTCTCATTCTCTCATGYTGTGTGGTGCCCRCCTTCAAACGGTGCCTAGCGAACCTGTTCACAGCCACTTTGCTGRAACATTCTCATCAGYACACTGCTCTCCCCCAGGGCAGGACACGAATGCCTCGGCTTCCTGTTGCTCGGCTGGAACCACTCAGTTTCAGTGGACTTTCTGACAYTGTGATAAGTTAGAACAGGTGGTTGTTTTCGGTTTTTGTTCTGTTTATTTTTTATTTTGGTTACGTTTGTTTATTTTATGATTTTCTAGTGTTTCKTCCTTCTGTGCAGCTTCCTGGTAAAGTTTAGGTGATTGTCAGCTGAGTTTCGGCGAGGCTCCTCCCACGACAGTCACGGTTTTGTTTGTTCCTTTCTGCGTTTGTGGAAARCTGGGGAGGGGGTATTCTGCTACCTCGTACCTGGTACGCCACRAAGACGTATTTGAGGGTCAGTTCACYTGTCTGGGTTTGTTRTTGAGGTCYGGGAGCTGAGATTTGCTGTCTAACAACATCTATGTCATCACAGAAGGACTAGATCTAGGCTTACTTTAGTTTTTGGCTCGAAGTACAAAGAGGAGGGAGAGCCTCTGTTGTTAGACCCATAGGGTTTTTCTTTTTTTTTTTTAGGGTTAACTTTTGTTTCTTTTGGGTTTTGTTTTATTTTGTTTTTTCTTTTCATTTTTGACCTTTTGTTTTGATTTTATTTCTATTTTTCCCTTTGTTCTTTTCTGATTTCTCCTATCTTTTTCTTTTCGGCGTTTCCATCAATCTCTTTTCAGTGYACAAGCCAGTTTTGTTTTAATGCCAGTATTAATGAAGTTTGAGTTCTTGCCTTTTTGAGCTCCATGATTTTTTTCATTCAAGGCGTTTTCTTTATTTTGATTTTTTGTTTTTATTAGCTTTAGAGTCTCCATTACTTTTGAACTGATTTCATCATATTTGCATTTGTTCTTRTCTTAGGTTTTGTGGTTTAATTTTTTTCATTTTGGATTTTTCTTCATGTGGAATGTTTGTGGGTGGAATAAAATCTTCCTGAATGGGGTGGATAGTCATTTTAACTGATTTTAATAACTTTATTTCTTCAATTATTYTAAGGTTCATTGAAGTTTTGTGATCTCCATTGATCATTTGTTGTTTAACTTGTCTAAATCTGTTAACTTAGAAGTAAACGCCTATCGGCATCTTCTTTGATCTGCCTTGTCCAAATTTGCTTTACTTAAAGAGTAACTTACCCCAAAATTAACTTTTTTAGCTGATAAACTGTCTAGAATGTGTCTAAAATGGTATATAGTACTGTTTCTGTGCTAATTGTGATGTTTTTGTACGTATTTGTTCAAATCTGTAATATTTGGTCTAAAAACGTGTTTTTGCTACTCATATGGGTAGAGCAGTGGTACTG